ATCACTCCAAAACTTCGCTGGCCCGTTAGTGCGCTGTATGTCAATAAGTTCCAGTGTATATTTCCCCTTGTCGATGCAGGGGACCACTTCCTTTGCTCTGGTTGATACGTCCCCCTCTATTGCAACAGTGAAGGGGTCTCTGGCAAAGCCCATCACCTCTGTGGGCAGAGCAAGTCCATCCAATCGACCGGCAAAGTTCTCTTTCAACCTCGCAATGAAATCTGTCATCACATCCGTGATTTGTGCCGGAGATGTGATGTGTTTGGGGAGCGTCGGAAAATGCACCCATCCGACCCGTGCTCAAGTCGGTCGCGAAAAGGTCCAGCTTGACTTGGATCTGCTCCACAAGATCAATGACCGTTTTGTCTCTGTTTCCGCTTCAGAGTTGAGAGAGACATGTTTTAGAGTTGCTATCATTGGACCACCGTTACTAGCACCACTAGATGCACTTTCAAAAAACGTGCTGCGTTGTGGTTTGGTGGTTTCTATGCAAGGCGGAGTGTTGCGTTCATGGTCTGTACTAGTGTAGGAATTTGGCTACGGGAGGCTGGGCCACTCGGGAGTTGGTTCTGGGCCGCATCCGGCCCGCGGGCCGCCAGTTGAATAGGCCTGACTTAAAGTGTCCGATGTCTGTTTGCTTTCTGACCACTTTCAATGATACATAACAGGTATTTTAAAGCCTTATATTTACTGTAAATATCTACATAATTACATTGTGTCTCATATGTTGTGAGTTTGTAATTATGGGTTCAAGAGCATACAGTAAAAAAAAAGAAAGAAATAAAAGCAACTAGATTTGAATTTCTATCAGAATGTCATATTCAAATGGTCTTAATAATATGTGGGTAAGTGTTAGGTCCATGATTTCCCCCCCTTTGGAAAAGCCTTTATGATCCCGCATGATGATATCAGTTAATAAGGCGTGTTTGTGCCGTATCTATCTAACAGTGTCAGTCTCTTACAGATCGTCAGTAGGCTTCTGCCACAGTGCCGTTCCTCGTACCCCCCCCACAGCTGAGGGTTTGAGCCTCCTCAGCTCCTTTCACAGGTAAAAGCAACCTCACAGTCACACAGCAGTTTTGGATAAAGGGAAAACATGGATGTTAATCAATACTGACAATTTGTAAAGGCATTTGTGTTCCCTAGAAGCACACGGCAGCTCCATTTGCAACACATTTACACTCCAATCACCAAAGGCAATGTATTCAAGACCTTTCAGCGTTATTTTGGGTGAAGCTCCATTTGGGCTTTTACGATTGACTGGTGCACAGTAGAATGCTTCAGTCTAATCTAATAGTCATAGAACCCTGAATCTGTTAATACGCAGTATAAGTCTGTCCATTCTGCTATTACCTTCCTAAAATAAGGGCTGTTGTTAATACAAGCTGACAAGATTTTCTTTTACGACATAATATACATCAGTAAATACCCCACTCTGCAATATCCAAAGCTTGTGAGTGTCATAGAGAACGGTGGTTAGCTAGGTGGCTAAATCAGACTAAATTAAACACTCCAAACATTAGCCACCTTTAGCTTAGCGCTGGTGACGTGAACTCTCGCAACCATCATGTAGTTAATTATTGCATTCATGGTTCAACTATTATAAAAGTGGTGTTAATATGCGGAGAATTTATTGCCGGCAATATTCCAAAATAGAAAAATCCCATTGCTTTTAATCAAGTGAGCTCTTGCAATGGTAACTTCCTCGTCGTGCTACAAAAACAAAAAACAATGCACCACTCTTATAGGGTCTATGCACAGAATGGACTCCTATGTTTTACATGAAATGTCATCCATGATCTCTACTTCTCGCTCTCTTGTTCTCATCAGCAGTGCGTGGACCCTCTTGGATCACTGACCCAGGGTCCGCCCACCATGAGTGCCTACTGTCAGGATCCCTCTGCTGCCTCTGGGTCCTCCGTCTCTGTATTACACAACATCTGACCCCTGATCTGTGACACTGTTTGCCCAAAACACTCGGCCAACAATCTTTCTAGAGGACCTTGCCCAGCTTAAAAAAACCATCCCACGATGCGTCTTTTGGGAGTGCCTGGCTCACATTGTTTTTATGAAGCAGAAATGATCCTTGCTACTGCCAGTAATGAACATACTGACTTTTGCTAGAACTGCTGTTCCTTTCTTTCCACAATCAATTCCTCTATAATTTCTCGCCTGCAGTGTTTACTGTGTGTGTCATCATATCTGTGTATAAAACACTATGGCACCATACAAATATGTTCACCCTTGTTTGCATTTGATAACGCATGCGCAGCTAGAGGTTCTCCCTTCGATGCTTCAGAAGGTTCTGCTGATATATGTAAAGCGCTATTCTGCATTTTCAAGTTTTTCCCCCCATTTCATTCATGTATAATTCCTACACAAGTCTGCAAGGAAAAAACCCATAAGGATAAGCACAAACTAAAGCAAAGCATTCCTAAAATGTGTTGTGTGTGACTGTTAACATCATATCAAAAGCTGAAAAAAGCTGAGAGTGTGTCAGTGTTCAACATGCCCTTTTTGTGTCGTTGACAATGCTTGGATGTAACGTGAGACTTTAAGTCACAAAGAAAAGGGACATTTGATTGTTTTTTTCCCTCTGATTTCACAAGACTGAAAATGCACATGTGAAGAAGACATGCATCAGCATTAATAAGCAATATTGTTGTAATGTGTTTGTTTTTCTGACATTTTCCCTATAGCCTGCCTTTGAAATCAGAAATAAACCACTCATACACATTTCTTTCCTTCCTGTTCTGTAGTCAAAGAGTGTTTCAGGGGAGTTGGTGATATCGTCACTGTCTTACTGAAGGTCACCTATTATGCAAAATCCACTTTTTCATGTCTTTTCTACACAAACATGTGTCGCCTTTGTATAAAGAGATTCTGAAAGTTTCAGGAAAAAGGATTTGCTGAAAATGAGCTGATCAGATTTTGGCCACTTTATGATGTCATAACGATTTTTTTGGCTTGTGTAACCATTAGCCAATCACCAACCAATGCTGACAGGGACTACCAGTTATTTTGTTAACAGTTCATCTTTAAATCACAATCAGGGACAAAAGTTGCAGAAACACTGTTTCATTTTCATCGCCAGAACGTCATTTTCTGTTTCACCTGTGTAAAACTACAGACAAACAGTTCATTATCCACTTACCAACAAGTCTGCAGTTCAACCCAGGCTCCTTTAAGTCTGCATGTTGAAGTGTCCTTGGGCAAGGTTCTTAACCCTACATTTCCCCTGAAGGCGGAGATCCAATTTAATCACAAGTAGTTACAGTACAACTACACCCTTGCACTCTGGGGAATTTCCAGAATATCAGTAATGTTACCTCCTGGCAGCGACATACGTCCAAATATTTCAGATTTCCATCACTTACTCCAGTTCTACACGAGTGGCAGAAATGAATAAATGTTCCTCGAACTGTGACTCAGGTTTCATAATGAAAACAGTAACAGAGAACTGCTGCTCTGAAAGCTTTTCATACAATTCCAAATAAATTACAAAAATGTCAAAGCATTTTCTCAAAGTCTGAAAACAGGCATGTTGTGGTGACTTTTGAGTGTGTCGAAGCTGAATTTCTATGTTGTTACCATTTGGCTGAAGGAGGAAATGAGTATCTTGTTCTCCCAGGGGAAGTGATGTCGGAGGAATGGTTGTGTGCTTGTTGCTGCTAGCATGAGGAAGGTCTGCAGACAGTGATTGATCGCCTCAATCGACCCACTGCAGACAATCTCCATCAGGTCCTACGTGAGGAGACTGCGCTCGGCCCTGTGGGGGGGGGGGGGGGGGGCTCTCCATCGCTGTTGCCTGCCTCTATCACGGTCGTACATACACTCATCAGGCGAGAAGCAGACACAATGTTAACCTATTCTCCATGAAACTGGACCTGCATCCCCTGAAAGGAGACCTTGAGATGTGGTTGAAAGCACAGGAAAAAAAGAAGTTTGAATAAATCCATCAGACAATCTTTACTTTAAAGGTCTCCTATTATACTCTTTTTCATCAATATATTATAGGTCTCAGATATATACAAGACATGTCTCGGAAGTGTTTGGCTCCAAATACCAAACAGATCATTGTAGCATCCCATAATCCCCTCTGTTTCAGCCCTGTTTGAAAAGTGCTGATTCTTTGTATGTTACTTTAAATAAGGAGCCCCTCCCCACGCCCCTCTGAGAGATATTTGGTTAAAAAGAACACAATAGAGAACCGCAGTGACGCGTCCTAAAACCCGGAAGTAAGTTAGCATTTTTAGCACTTCCGGTTCCTTCGTCAAAAAGCAATGCATTTTTTCCATAGGGTTTTGGAAAATAGCTTGAAATAAGGTCTGTGGTTGACACAAATTTAAGAGACGGATCACGTTTTGTTCTACGACATGAAATACATCAGCAGTGACCCCACTGGTGATTTTTGAAGAGTTTACGTGTCTGAAAAACGATGGTTGTTACCAAGTGGCTGAATAGGACGACAGAAATTGTCGAGGCCGTTGTACGTCATTACGCCGAACACGTAAACACTCCCGCTAAATTTGTTTTCCCCTATGGTTTCCCCCGTGTTCTGCTTGAAAGCAAGTACCTGCCTATCTTTAGTATCTTTAGTAGGCTATCTGTATATCTATATCTGACCATTAGAATCTGTATTTTGAAATTGTCGTTTTTAACACCGTAGTTTTACAAATGATAGAATAATGAATTACCAGTGTTTTCCAATTTTACTCGGAAGTTTGTTCCGTTAGCTAAAGCTAGCGCTAGGTTGGTTATTGGCTAATGGTTACACAAGCCAAAAAAACGTTATGACATCATAAAGTGGCCAAAATCTGATCAGCTGATTTTCATACAGGTTTTTATAGAAATGGATCAGGAGAAAAGGAGAGGACACATGTTTATGCAGAAAAGACATGAACAAGTGGATTTTGCACAATAGGTGACCTTTAAGGTAATACTAGCTCTGATGGTGATGGTTCAAGTGTCTTGACCTTGAGTAAATATTATTTTATACAATATCAAACCAAAACATCTAAGATGGTCTTCATGAAGCGGTTTACATTCAGGTTATAGGGATAAGATTAGGGAGGATGACATAATCTGTTAATCAACGATTTACAAGACAGGACACTTGTGGGAACTTTTGACAAAGGCTGTTGTTTTGGCATTAAGTGAGAATCTGCTTCAGCATTGAAACCATGATGTGCTTTTTACCACTGTCTCAAAAGTTTATAAAACACAGATTGAACTAATAGACATGGAATAAGCATTTATTAAGGTGGTTTATTCTTAAATATTGTTGTACTGTGAGATCAATTTAAAACCTTCTGAAAGGATACAGAGGCCAAAAAAGATGACCACTAGGTGTCAGCATAGAACCATGATTCACCATAAGACCAAACTTAAGAGAACCAGACGATAAGATGGATGGACACTTTGTTAATAGTGGTTAGTTTGTGAACGTTCTACAAACATTATTTGGTTGGCTATTATAAGCATCTATAAACACATAGTTAATAATTTGTTAATGGTTGATAGTTGGTCTCTGGCCCTATGTAATGTTTATAAATGTTATATTATCTAAAAGGTTTGCAAACCATCAACATATATTTTAGTTTCACACAATATAGCATCAAATGCAGTATTGATTTACTATTAACACAAGTTTATTAATGATCTGTTTACCATTTTGGAATGATGGGTTTTATAGTGTTACAAGCCTCCTTTTAAAAAAAAGTAAATGTCGTAAAAACTGTTTGGAAATGTAATTCTCTCACTTCTTTTCATGTCTCCTTTCGAAATGGACTCACAGATATCGAGTGGCCCTGTAACTGCCTGTATGTCTTCCTCTTTTTGCAACAAAAAAAAACGACATTTGAATTATAGTTCTTCAAAGGATAAGGAGTGTAATTTACAATAACTTTTTGGCCATGCCAGCAGCTTTGCTTTTGGCCGATTGGTGAGTCCTCCACCTAAATGAAGACTAAACAACTCTTATATTGATTGCCATAACATTTGGTTTGGACATTGATGGATCCCTCAGGATAAAAATGTTATACAATGAGTGATTCTCTGACATTTCATAGCACCAATCATCAGGACACAACTTTAATTTCTTCAAAACATTGCCACTTACTATTTAGTATAAAAAGACATCATGGAACTATTTCCTAATTCCTGGTTAACACAAATCAGGTGCTGGGACTGTCGTGGCTTCCTTAAGGCTTGTGCCAGAAATATGACCATATAGGTTTTAGTTTTTGAAAGGTCAAGCTAACTTTGATGTTGTTCTGCTTAACAAACACCGCTGCAGGTGAAGCTACACCCTCAAAAGCCCCCCTTTGGCATAAAAGCAACAAAACAGAGGACAGAACAGCAATTTATAAAAACCCAATAGCAATTTGCTAAACCTTGAAAGAAGTTGTTCCTCTTTTGTTGTCTTTTCTGTTATTCCGTTGTGCTCTGCACTTCAGGGCCACGGTACACCCTGCCATGCACTGCAAGGCTATAACTTCATCCAATCCTCTGAATTTACGATCTAAAAAGTCAACTAAAATTCATGCATTCAATTTTAAATTGAATTAATGAGCAGCTCCACTAAAACTTTTAATAGCCTGAGCGATAAGAGAAATGGTGTCGTGAGACCGTCATTAAAGAGAAGTTAAGGGACGGCAGACTCCAGGGAGCCGATAAACTGGGTGCTCCACTCTCCTGCTCTCATTTCATCTGCAGTGAGGTCAGCCCACCGTCCCCTCAGCGTCAAACAACCCAACAACAGGACCACAGGCTAAAGATACAACTGTATGAACTGAGAAAATACTCTTTTCAAAAAACTAATCAAAAAGTAGTAGAAATGTTCACTTCTAATTGTATAGCTTACTTTTAAAGTCTCTTTCACTACAACAGAAATCACTTTTGTATAATTACTTTTATTTATTTGGCAGATGCTTTTGTCCATAAATCTAAAGATTAAGCCCCAAGTTTATTGTGGTGGGATATTTCAGTTAGGGTTACATAAAATACAAATGTATGATCATAAGGTGGGGGGTTTGCCCTTATGTCCTGTATTTTTTTGTAGCTTTGCTCATCTACATGCTACTCATTTTTGGTAGTCGCGTGCTGGGTCATTCCAGAATTGGAGGACAATTTAGGCTCCAACATTTTTGAAAAATGAACCTTTTATGTTATAAAAATGTTTTATGTATTTAGGAAAAACAGATAATAAACCATCAAAAAAAGTGATTTGCCCAGCTAGGCATCAAATGTATATTTTCCAATGAAGAATTACCCCTGTTACTCTAATTATAGTAACAGGGTTGAAAATCAATGCTAATTTGAGTTTTAATCTCAGAAATTATTGCTAGATGTAGCATGTAATGCTACTTTCAAGGCAAGGACAAACTTGGATATCTAATGCAAAAAAGATAACTTTGAAATTAATATGCTTTATATTTTAATATCAGTAACAGGGTTGAGTGGGTCAGAGTGCCACACTCTTTGAAGACTGAAAGGATTGTAAAAATATGAAAAATAAAAGAGAGGACTTAGTTTTGGTCTACCCATGGCACTAGCACATGGCTTGCTGATTTCCTTTCCACTGTGTCATCTGATTTACAGTTTTTTCACTTCCTGTTCCAATCTAAAAAGTTTTGGGTAACAGGGTTGAACGCATGTTGAGGGACACACCTTCTGTGCAAAATTACTGTTATTTAAAATATGTTTATGATTTAACAAATTGATTTTACCATTACAAGAGACATATATCAATAGAATAATACCAAAGAAAAGTAAATAAAATCCCTATTTTAAATGTTATTATTATATTTGACATGCAAGTTGGTCACCAAGAAGCGGGGACAAGAGAAAAATGCCATTTTAGGGGGTGTTCGAGAGCTATTTGATCATTTAAATAATATTTTGAAACCACTTTTTCTACAACTTTATATACATTTTGTCTCAAGACAAGTATGTTTAACACAAGTGCATGTTTTAGCATTTTGGGCATGGATTATTAGATTTTTTTATATGGGGGACATGAAATGTCCTCCAATTCTGGAATGACCCTGCTACTGTGTATGCTAACATGCTAATAGGGACCCTAAACGTTCTTACAGCTCATTGGCTGACTTGACAAAGCTTCTCCAGAAACACAAAAACGGTTTTTATTGGCTCTTTGTTGAGTAAACTGACGCTGACACATGAAAATAGAGTGGCCCTTTATCTCAGAAAGGTGGTAAACTGTTGTGTGTCCCTGAAAGTATAGATACACACTGTCTACTCTGTGTGTGACAGTGAGTGTTCCTTTGGGTTCACAAAGCTAAAACAACACGTTTGAAGAGGGAAATGATGAAACACGGTAACAGCAACGTTTGACTCTTTGTTTTTTATTCAGGTAGCAGCATCAGTCAGCACTGTCCTACTTTAAACAATGCAGCTCCTCCTAGCCCTGCAAAGCCATACACACATTCAGAAACCACATTCAGAAACCAAACACACACCTGATCACACACACACACACACACACACACACACACGACTGCACAGAGACAGAGAGAGACGGAGAGAGAAAAACAGGCCTCTAGTTTAACGATGGTACAATCTTAAAAATAAGGAAATGTCTCCGACAAATATGTGTGTTTCTCAAGTATTGTATTAAACGTATAACAATTTCCCAGCAGCTGGAATACACAACCAATTGCCTTCACCTGTAATAAAATAGAAAATTAAATTCCAACTCAAAGTCCACTTTTTCCATCACAACACACATTATTTTGTCGACATGCGAGCTCCTGCTGAGAATAAGAGCTTATTCTAGACCTTGGAAATAGCACTTTGACAAAACAATCGTTAAAAGCCACAGGGTAATCCTCATAGTTCCTTTGTATTACATCATCTGTGTGATTTTCTTCTTGTATTGAATGTATGTATCAAGCCTGAGATGGTGGCAGGAGATGCGTGACTGAAGTGAATACCTTTTTGAGACGCATACTAGACCTTTTTTGAAAAGGTGTAAATAATCTACTATCCGTCTACGTTCATTACTTATTTGTAATCCTCTCAGTGAGAATGGCAGCTGAGGTTACATTTAAATGATCAGTTTTCTTCCAAGCACATGAAAGTGAAAGGAAGGAACCAGCGATGTCTACACACATGGTTATAGAGTGACTTGTTGCAGTGGTTATCTGATCCCTGATCAGTTTAACTAAATAATGATCTGTGTGGTAAAGTGAGAGAGAGCCCGTACAGGGTATACAACGTAACTCTTGATCGTTGTCCATAAATGCAATTCATCAAGGAGTTAGTGTTTAATAATGACTAATATGTTTGGTGTAACTAAACTTCAGACGTTTCTCTTCTTCTTCTGGTGTTTCAATAGAGCTTCATGTGTATTAGCACCAGACCCGGCGCCGTGGGGGGGCCATGACATTCCTGCCCTCCCCCAATAAACACGTTTTTTATTATTTATAAAAAAAAAAAAAAATTAAAATGTATCTAATTATAAATAAACTGTGAACTTTAATGCTACGATATATGTGATGTCAGATAGTAATATAAGAGTAATAAATGAAAAACAGGTATGAAATTCTATATGACAGTAAAACAAGAATACAGTTTGAAAGGGGAGTGATTTGTAAAATATCCATAAAGAAAAAGAAAATCTGATTACAGTTGTGTTTCATCTGGGTGTTGAGAGATGTATCCATAGATCTCTTCATGTTGCTCTCAAAGTGCACCAGATTGATGCTTTCAACTTCAATATTTAAAAAAATATCTTCCCGGGGGAGCATCCCCCCGGACCCCCCTAGAGGAGGTGAGGTCCGCCCCCTACTCGCACATAGCACTTTACCCCTGCCTATATGCTGTGGGCTGATTATGGAGCCTTCATTGTAACAGTAATTCAGATGCAATAAGCCTATATAAAAGGCCNAATTTTATGCTAATTACTCGTCGGGATCGATATGGGGTATGGTAAATAAAAATAAAACCGAATTTTGATTTACACTCGTTGAAGTATCAGGATAAGTCTCAAAGAAAATCGTTACGGGAATCTCCCTTTTATCTTCTCTTGTATTTACGATTGAAAAAGATCCGAGTATTATTCAGGATTTTTTGGTTCAAACGGTTCTTTTCATTCTTCTATATATTCTATGTTCATCTTTTTGGTCAAGAACAACGGTTAAACTAAGAAGAACCTGCTATTTCCCTGGTTAACTCCAGGTAGCTAGAGGTCGATAGTCAGTACTCAAATCGGAGATTTTGGCTTGCAACGATTATGAAAACAACATAATCGAAATAAAACGATTTTTTTTTTAATCTTTTTTGGTTTTTCAGTTTAATTATACTTAGAGTTCAGGGTAATCAACTGTTATAAACATACTGTTCACATTTCTTTCTTTTTTTCAATAAATTGATGTTTTCAAAGTAAATGGATAATCGTTTTTAATAATCGTGATATCAATTATTGACCAAAATAATCGAGATTATGATTTTTGCCATAATCGAGCAGCCCTAGTACAGTATATGCTGTGTTCGAAAGGATGTAAAAGTTTTCAGAAAAAAAGTTCATTCAAATCCCCAAAGCAGTCCGTCCAAGATGACAATAATGTGTTTGCCAAAAGAAGTAAATTAAAAATCTTTTCTAATAAATATTACTTCAGGGATGTTTGCCACATATTAAAGATATGCAAAATTGAACTCAACTCAAATCAGACAAACCCCCCAGGACACGATGCATAACTTCCAATCATAAACACAAGAGAGTAGATAATGAAAAAACTCTCTATTAAATGTAAGTTACCTAAATAAAAGAGGTACTAAAGTTTATGTAGAGAATGTGAAAAATAAGTCAAGTTGTGTCTGCTGTTTTCAGGTCAGCAGGTTCTGGGTCTGGTGGAGAACCAGAGTGACTGGTACCTGGGGAACCTCTGGAAGAACCACCGGCCGTGGCCAGCTCTGGGCCGGGGCTTCAACACTGGTGAGTCCAGAGGACGTTATGTTCTCATGGTAGCATGGTCGGTCTGTATGAAACGGTTTCCCTGTCCTTACTTATAAGCGCAATTAATGCTAAGCTCTTGATTTTTGAGTATGCTTGAAGTATGAAAAAATATCCAGAAAATGAAGCAGCGCCAGGAAGACCTCAAACCATTGGCAATTTACTTTTAAGACATTATTTTTGCACTTCACACTGAAACAGGAACAGATTTATATTTAAATCTGCACACATTTTGATGCTAACCTTTGTGTCTTCCTGACTTCCAGTTGACAGTGTGGATCAACCATTATCAACTAAAAGTGTTTACTTTTCAATGTTCCAAACAAAACTTTCATACAACATGTTTTTGTAGAGTGGACCTTCTACAACCAGGATATTACAAACGTTTTAAATGGTAGTGTACATCAATGGACATTTGATGTACATTTCCTACTCCTATTGTGACAGTATATTTAGTAAATGTATTGCATTTAAACACATTAACATTTACTGTAAGGATTGAATTTCTCTTTATGTATCCAATATATCCATCTGTAATAATCAGAAAACTTTATGTTGGGTTTTGTTGAAATGAAATCAAATAAAAGATACATTTAAATTAAGAATGTACTATTGAAAGATTAAATGAAATACAAATATTTAAAGAATATGAGTTGGATACACATTTCCAATAAAAGATCAAACAAATGAATAAAAAATATTTATACAAACATAAAAAGTTAGGGAAAAAATGTGCATATGAAATGTTTTTTTTATTATTGCAGTTTTCTGTGTTCCTTTTTTTCCTCTGAAATATTCATTTCAGAGCCTCACAGTAAAGTAGAGCAGCAGTGAGGCAGTTTTGTTGCTCGTTTGTGTGGAAAAACATATTTTTTAAAGCCGACAGTAGAATTCATTGAATTCCATTACACCATGTTATTATTTTCACCCTGCTTATATATATTCCCCCCCTCAAACCCAGCAGGAATTCTCTTTCAGAAGACTTATAACTCTCTGTTGTTTGGAGCTGAAGGATAATAGTTCTATTGCCCACAACAAACCGCACGACCTGCTGCCGACGCTCTGTAGATTGCCCCCTGAACACCTTTATTTTGTTCACTGCTATGCTCTTACTGTTAAATTCCTGTTATTGTGACTTAACAGCAGTTCTCAGAAAAAGAAAGACATTTTTTACATCAACACAGAAGAGCAATTTGACCAAAGAAAACTCCAATTCAACTGTGGTCGGTCAGCTTCGTGGCCACGGCAACAGATGGAGCTCAGCGGGGTGCGAAACATTTTCTGCTCCACAAATAAAATCCACCATATTTCCTCCGTCCAAAATTGGCTGCTTGATTTTATTTGTACCAGGCCAGAATATTTCTTTTATTAGCCAGGGAACTGAGAAGAAGATGCTTTTGATTTTTAGTCAAGAAAAAAGTTATAATTCTTTGTGTGTCCCCAGGAGGATATGAACCTGTTTTCCCATTCAATGACGGTCAGTCTTTAGGTTTTAAATCTGCGGTTTTATCTCAGAAAACACAGGGATGTGATTTACAGCCTTGTGATTGGACGTTATCACCTTTAGCAGGCAGCTAGATACAGATCTCTCTGTTCTTTAAGCTATCTCTTTCTGCACGCTTTTCAGGGGTGATTTTGCTTCTGCTGGATCGTCTGAGGAAGCTGAGATGGGAGCAGATGTGGAGGCTGACTGCAGAGAGGGAACTAATGAGCATGCTGTCCACCTCCCTGGCAGACCAGGTAACACACACAGACACATACCTTTCGACATAACTCAAAATGAACCGTTTCACATGGACAAATCACAAAAACATCTGTATTGGTTGTGGGAGTTTGACCAAACATTCAAAGGGGATATATTTTGCTTATTTTCAGGTCTCTTATTGTATTTTCCACTCTACTGTGACATGTCTCCATGCTTTAATGTTCAAAAAGTTCTTTATTTTTCTCATACTGCCTGTGCTCCAGCACCTCTTTTCACCCTCTGTCTGAAACCAGAGCCCAGTCTGATCTGATTGGTTAGCTGGCCGGCTCCGTTGTGATTGGTCAACCACTTAGAGATGTCCCGCCCCTTATCCTATCAAGCACAATGTTTTGGAGTTAGCCAATAGATGTGTGAGTGTTACATAGTGATGTTATGTAAGTGAAGTCCATTGGATGGGTTTCAGGCAGGGGGGGTGGGGGGGGCGTTGTGTGGAGGGAACTTTGGGATTCTAGCCTTTGCAGACCATTTACATGCACTAAAACCTTTTATAATACACTTCAGGAAAGGATAAACCCCAAAAAGCATTATACGGCCTCTTTAAGACCGTGCCCTTTTGTTTTTTTTTGCTACTGCTACCTGAACATGAAGTTAAACTGAGCTGCAGTAAAGTGCTCAAATGCTTCAAATGAAGTACTTCTTACAGCTTGTTATCCAGCTGCGTCTAAAGGTCAAACCACTTCTGCCTGTTGTGTATGCCAGCACTGGAAAACATGGTGTAAAACATGCTGTCAGCCTCCTCCGGGCTGCACCACACATCAAACAAAAGGGGATAAAAGGTTACACCTTTAAACACACTCTTATATTTCCAGCATGTTACACTCACTTGTCCACTGGAAAACTGACGAAGGGAATTAGTTTGAAGAATGAACATTTTTTTAAAAGTCAAAGCCCTTAATACTTTCTAACCTCCCCACACTTGACTAATCTTTCTTGTAAAAGTGGGAGTGATTTTTTGGTTTTGGAAAGTCACAAGAACGGTCAAAATGCAGCCCTCAGTTTCCTTTCTGGCTCAAAGGTGGGCTGGGCATGAGGTTTCAGAAGATATCCAATGATCTGACAAGCATTTTGAAGCAGACTGACTCCTTATAGAAGCCCTTTTGTGCTTTTAGGGGTTTTCCCTTTCCTGTAGTGTGTTTATATATTTTTGTGTGCATGTGCAAAGGCTAAAATCCCAAAGTTCCCCCTGTCTAATTTTAGACAGAGGGTGAAAAGAGGTGCTTTAGCATGGGCGGTATGAGAAAAATAAAGGACCTTTTTGAACATTAAAGCATGGAAACATGTCACAGGAGAGACACTAAATACAGATATGAACCTGAACATTAGCGTAATATGGCCCCTTTAAAGTACACTTTATCCATCCCAGCTGAGTGTACCTGAAGGTCATAAATATATTTATCTTAAACTATGGAGAATTCTATGTGTAACAAGTATTAAGGCAAGACACTGAGACCTTGGCGAAGGGTCTCTTCATTATCTGGGAGCTATTCAGAGCTCATCTAGATGAGAGGTGCGTTTATGAGATTTTAATTAAAACTTCATTAGGATAGTCCCGCAGGGTATGCAGTTTGGAAAAGGAACAGGGTTTTTGCAATAGCTTGAGCATTGCATCTGCATTTTGCTGTATGAGCTCCTCCAATGGACTGGCAGCCATCTTTATCACAGCATTCAGAGAGTTTTATGCCTGTAATTACCAAGCTGGAATCTGTCACTCAGACTTTAGTCTTGTGACTCTGAATGTCCCGAAGTCAAAAAAGTTGTTTTGTTAAAAATGTAACAAAGGACTAAAGGTAAGCTCAAAGCAATTTGAAGCATTCAGCTTTACGATTACACAGGCTTTAAGGAATTAAAGCCTGAACATCTGGAACATCTGGAGACGTACAAAACCCCTTACTAAAGAGAAGAGTCAGGAAGAAACCGTCTCTATCCATAACTAAATAATGATTGATGATCTGTTATCTTTGGAAACTGTGTGCACTTATATTTGGACCGTTCATAAATAGGTGGAAAAAATCAAGAACATAATAAAATATTAGATTTTTATAGAAAAATGATAATAAAGTATGAAAGACATGTTCAGATATTTTCTATATGTATGCATAAATATAAATATAAATATATATAGTGTATATACCTGAATACTTAATGATATTTGTCATGGAGGAAATTGGGTTTCGTGACATTTGCTCCATTTTAATATTGATTTAATAAAAGATAAATAAATACAAAATAATGTCTGTTTATATTTGTGCAAATAATAAAAAATGTGTACATAAACAAAGGAAGTAAAAGTGTGAAAGATCAAATGAATATAGTTATATGAACATTAGATATATACAGCGGTATATTTGTACTAATAACTTACTAATACTGGATTGCATTGTTTTAAAGTGTTTGGCTTAAGTAAAAAAAAAGAGATGTATATATATATAATTACTATATACTATACTATATATGTACTGTATGATAATTTAAGAAAGTTTTTTAACAGACATTATTTGACTATGTTTTCTAAATTGGTCTTTAGTTTGAAATCTGTGTGTGTGTGTGTGTGTGTGTGTGTGTGTGTGTGTGTGTGTGTGTGTGTGTGTGTGTGTGTGTGTGTGTGTGTGTGTGTGTGTGTGTGTGTGTGTGTGTGTGTGTGTGTGTGTGTGTGTGTGTGTGTGTGTGTCCGCAGGACATCTTCAACGCTGTGATCAAGCAGAACCCGTTCCTGGTGCACCAGCTGCCCTGCTTCTGGAACGTCCAGCTGTCCGACCACACCCGCTCCGAGAAGTGCTACAAAGACGTGTCGGACCTCAAGGTGAGCCCCTGCTGTCCCCAATATGCTCACACTCTGTCTCACACACACACACACACAATACCTGACCTACATTATTCAGGAGTCCCAGCCAGCCACACACTGCGGACCGCACACTGAGAGGCAGAGTAAAAGCATTATGGATTATGTTAACCTTGTAAAACGTCATGTCTTTTCACGTTCTAGGAGATGGGTAAAAAGCCTGTTATTCCCTGTTGATGCACGTTTGATGCATATGTGACAGACTGTTTCAAAGATATATTTGATTATGCTTCATGGCTCAATCTCAGCAGTTTTCCCCAAAATAAATGCCCAAGTGGAAGCAGGGATTAATCTCCCTGACATCTGCCCACATTTTGATTGGCCTCCATTACACAGCAAAGATACAACAGCAACGATGTGGGTCACAATGCCTGCCGATGTTTTATTGGCTTCGTCCGTGTCACAGCTCGTTTAATATCAAGCATAAATTAGACTTCCTTTCAAATGAGCCAAATATTAACAGTATGGATGAATGAGTCTTGATGTTGTCAAATTCACCGAGCAGAATTGACACACAGTTGGGAACAGCCAAATTAACAAATGACAATATTATGTTACGTTAAATACCGATAACAAAAACTATAAAGGAATACATACTCTTACTTCACTCGGTGGAAACTGAAAAGCAGGTATGCAGTTATTTTTGTTAAAGGTGCTTTTTCCCGGCTGAACCTATTAACTAATGCCTTGGAGCGCCCACATGTGATCAATCAATCAAAGTTTATTTATATAGCCAAATATCACACATTTTACATTTGTCTCAGGAGACTTTAGAGTTTGTACAGGACTCTTTTATCTTGTAATATTCTTTGGCATGCTTCTTGAGTGATATTAAGCGGTCTTTAACTCTTTACCTGCTGTAACAAATGCAAATTGCCCCTCTGTAAGACGAATAAAGGTATTCTGAATACGTATACGACCCCCTCTGTCATTAGATAGATGTGATGCTATGCTCTCATTTATTGTATTAATATTTTATTGTTACTTTGTATGAAAACAGTTAGGATCAGACCCATGGTTTTGCTGTTGTAGAAATCAAAACATCTAAATATCGGCGGTTTAAGGTGCTCTTTGGATTCAGGATTTCGTGTAACAATGAAAAGCAACCTCATCACTTCCATGTTCTTTTTCGATAGTTGTATTTGGAGACAATCTTTAAAGTGTCATAAGTAAAAGAAAAAGTGAGAAGCTTAATGCCAGACTCTAGCAAGTTAGTCTGTCCAATGTTTGAATGGTTAAAATGTTTCCTTTCAAAATGTCCCCTTTCAAAATGTTCCCTTGACAGTTCCCTAAATCCTTGAACCAGGATGTTTATGATTTGATGGGATGCAACTGGTTTACAAAGAAAAATGACAAAGAAAAAAGGACCCAGAAAACCGTTTTCACTGCTTTTCTGTCTGTGTTTCTTCTGCCCAGGTGATCCACTGGAATTCCCCCAAAAAGCTGCGAGTAAAGAACAAGCACGTGGAGTTTTTCCGGAATCTCTACCTCACCTTTCTGGAGTACGATGGCAACCTGCTGCGGCGGGAGCTTTTCGGCTGTCCCAGTGAAACAGACCACAACAGCGAGAACGTAGGTGCAACTGCTTCTGTGGTTCTGGGTAAAGCCTGATACAAAGGTGTGAAGTCGGGGTGGGGGGGGGGGAACTAGCAGACAGTAAGGGTTAGTGTCACGCTTGAGTAGAAGAAGAACTATAATGGACTTTTCGTTATGGAGAACTTTCTAACTTGGTAATGTTTGGGTTGTTAAATGTCAGATCTTCTTCTTCCTGACTTGATTTCATACTTTCTAATTAGTTAGATATTTATTTGATAATTCTTTGTTAGGTCCTGTGTTGCATTAAATAAAACATGTCCTTCACAATAGAACAATAAGTCGAGGAGGTTGGCTTGATGTGATTCACAGAGATTAAGATCTTATTTAATGAACCACACTCCAATGAAACTCTTTAATTAACTTCTCCTCATTTGAACCACTTTGTTTCATGACAAATTAAAGGCCCCTCTAATTTATGTTCTCTTCTACAGACCCCCTAAACTTCAGAGTATTTCTCTGATCTGTTAACTTTTCTTACGCCTTGCTTTGATAGAATCTTGGTTTTAGGGCGATTTTAACATAAATGTAAGAATCCCCTTTGGTCTCTTTTTTAATACAGATTTCAAAGACCTGATGAGATGTATACATCTTACTGAGTTAGATGAGGGTCCTGCTCACTTAAAGAGACACACCCTGGATTTGGCTCTCTCCCCTGGTGGCTACACTTGAAAGTCTTAATCTCTCTGAAGCTAGCATCTGTCTTTCTGTCTACAAAGCTTATATTTCCAAGGCCCTCCTTCCACCTCCTTCTCTCAGAGTGTATGATTCTTGAGTATCAAGTGATTGGTCTACCTGCCTATTGATCTACCAAACGGTCCATTTAATTACCTGTCCTCCTGGTGAAGTCAGTTTGTCTGGCTGTTGTTCTTTCGGCTCCTCAGTGGTGGTGCTGTAAGAACAGCTGGCTCTCTGGAGTGCTATAGAGTGTCAGTCAGAGCGGGTGTGGACCGAACAGATGGTGCTACCGTAACACATACTCAACACTGACATATTCCATCTGGTGTTGGGTTACTTTAAACATATCTACATGAGGGATGATGTTGACATACAATCCTTTTATATAACGGCTCCTCCGGTCCCTTCACTAACAACCAGGCTGCCCAAACCTGCCTTCACACACTGGTGTTTGCCTACATTCAAGACAAACCATACACTCAAACATTTGGAATTCGCTCTGCATCGGCCAATCAGCTCGTACTTCCTCACTGTGAGTGGGATCCAGGTTCCCCTCAACAAGAACACAGCTGTTCTCTACGGAACGGTGGAACGAGCTTAAATCTGCTATAAGTCTACATGTGTCCCCTCACTTAGACCTACACGTGTCCCCTCACTTAGACCTACACGTGTCCCCTCACTTAGACCTAACACAAAAAACATTCAACTCATAACATTTGAAAAGCTCATTTGAAACAAAAGCAGCAGCCCTTACAAAGGTTTTGGCCTTTTTGAAGCAGATGTATTTAAGTGTGTATCTTCACAGTTTATGGATAAAAGAGTCCGTTAAATGAAATGTAATGTAATACCTGATGGTAACAAAATGGATATCTTTCAATAGAGAATTAAGAAAAGTGTCTTCATTCATAAACCAAATGTAGTCAAATCAGATCCGAATCAGATGAGTTTATATGACCTTTATTCGTCCCACATAGGGGAAATGTACATTGTTACAAGATGGAGACAAAAAAAAAAACGGTATTAGAAAGGGCATGCACATCATATTTACACGGACACGTTGTCCAGCAGGGAGGACATCTTGGTTCCAAGTCAAGAATACAATGATACACAAAAACATGAAACGGAACCATTCAGAACAGGTTCCAACACTTAGACTGTAGACTTGCTTGGACCACATGTTGTAAACCTGGTTCATGTGGAGCTCACTGAGATCATACTACCCAGTATACTGTCAGGACTCTGTCTTATCATTCAGACTGATATTCCACAGCTTGTTAGCTTCTAACCTGCTGAAGGTCACTTTGCTCAAAAGTGTTTCCAGGACCAGCCTCTATGGGACCAGCCCTGGTGTCAGCAAGTGTCAGCTCTGCGGTCACTTAATCAAATTATAATTTCCCATCAGGGTATGCAAGAAAAAACATTTCCCCAACCGACACTTCTAATGTGTTAACTCAGGAAATACTTTGTTCGCTTCATTTTTCAGAGTTTGATCAGTGATTTAAATCCAATTAAAGTGATGATTAGACTAATGAAGTCACTGAGGGGTTGGCTCCAGCAGCACACTGCAGCCCGGGCTCCTTCAGGGCCACAGCGTCACTCCAGTCCAATAATAACACCCTTCAAAGCAGGGCCACACAGGAAGTGGCAGCCCATTAGCATCCACTCTGCTTTTGTTTGTTTGGACTTCCATCTCCACTTAAATTATTGAGAAAGTTACCAACACCTGAATGCTGACATCCATTCATACGTTGGTTGACGTGTTGCCCCATCAACAATTTTACAGTATTCACACAGAAGCAGAAGGCTCCTGCCAATCCTCTATGTCCATTTGACCAAAGAAAACAAACAAGAGCTAATCAGGGATAAATTATTGGAACTGCATTTATTTGTAATGAATTGTAACAGCTTGTTGCTAAATGGATTTATGTGGGATTAGAGGCCTGAGTCTGGACAGACTGGGACACAGAACAGCCCTCAAAATGTAATCCTAAAGCTCCAGCCTAACCCCCCCCCGCCCCCCCCAAAGGTGCAGTACACAAAGGTTCAGTACACATGCAGACATGGACACTGAAGTTCTACTAGTGGCAAATAGTTGTTTATTCAAATGCCTAAGTACGATGCAGGTTTATATTTACCTGACAAAGCCCTCTGGTGGCATTATGACTCAGGGGCAAAGGCTGGACTAATATGATGTTGTTATGAACACCTTGGAGGGGGGTAGGGGGTGGGCTTGATGGATGGGTTTAGCAAGCATGTGACACAGGAGCCCACGCTCCGTTTGCTGTTACCCACCAAGAGTCATTTTGCTTTTAGTTTTTAACCATGACAACAAAGGTTCTCAAAACTTAAAAGGTAAGACCAAAACTTGACCTTGGAAACAGAATTTGAGGAGATAAACTCACTTTAATGTCCTTTAGGTAGCTGGAGCTCTTGATTATATCGCATGATATCCATTGGAATGTTTGAGATGGAACTCCTGTTGTCGTGTTAATAATATCCTACTTTTACATTTTGTTAGCTGTAATTTGGCCCTTCATAGTGTTTATTTGATTGTTTTCATGGTCCACTTGTTTATATTTGAAAATGTTTAGTTCTATTTTATTTTCTATTTTGTGTATTATGTATAAAAATAAATAATAAAATATGTATTTTCAAATGATGTGCAAGGCCTTGTTTTAACAATCTGCTGCTGTGACGGGAAAAAAATCCTATTTGGCATCAATAAAGAATAACTTATCTTCATTGTTCTGAACCCTAACCCTGGCAACGTTTGGTAAGACTGTCAAGTGATTTACAATCTGTCTGACCTCAACCTATATAATCACTGTGGTGCGATGATACCGTTACTTCGGATCACCTTTAGTAGTAAACCTTCTTTCTCTAAAATGACCCTCTCCTCCCTCCCTGCAGCTTCAGAAGACTCTGTCAGAGCTGGACGAAGATGACCCTTGCTACGAGTTTCGTCGAGAGCGATTCACCGTCCACCGAACGCACCTCTACTTCCTCCACTACGAGCACGAGCCCAGCCCCGACAACACCGACGTCACTCTGGTCGCCCAGCTCTCGATGGACAGGTACTTTTGGTAACTCTGCACTGAACTACTTTGTTTTTTTAATCGAGAGAAAACATTGAAATGGAAATGAACTGCTAAAAAGTATTTAGGATTCCTCTACTTAGTGGTGTAGTGATATTGATACCCTCTCTGTGGCCCGCCCCCTGCAGGTTGCAGATGCTGGAGGCCATCTGTAAGCACTGGGAGGGGCCCATCAGCCTGGCCCTCTACCTGTCGGACGCTGAGGCCCAGCAGTTCCTGCGCTACGCTCAGGGCTCCGAGGTGCTGATGGGCCGCGGGAACGTGGGGTACCACATCGTCTACAAGGAGGGACAGTTCTACCCGGTCAACCTGCTGCGTAACGTGGCCATGCGGCATGTCAACACGCCTTACATGTTCCTGTCAGACATCGACTTCCTGCCCATGTACGGCCTGTACGAGTACCTCAGGTAAGAGGAGCAAAACTGAAACCGCTAGTGACCCTAACACTTGGCTTGATGTTTCTTCAGAGCAAGAAACGCAATTTTTATCCCATTTTGTTAGATGTTGCAAATGTATGTAATCCTATTTCCTCTCTTTGTATTTAAAGGAAGTCAGTAGTGCAGCTGGACATGGCCAACGCCAAGAAAGCTCTGGTGGTTCCCGCCTTTGAGACGCTGCGATATCGTCTGTCTTACCCAAAGTCCAAGGCTGAGCTGCTCTCTCAGCTGGACATGGGCACTCTCTTCACCTTCAGGTAAACAGCTCTCACTCATTTCTTTTTTGGTGATTCAAAGCATTAAAAAAAGTTCAATGAACATGCACTGCGTGTTCGTCAATAGTCACTCTGAGGGTTTTTGAGTTCGGAACGCTGCTGGAATATAGCGCTCGCAAAATACATTTTCTTTAACTCCTAGCGTTAGCTTTAGCCTAGTAGGCTACTGGTGACTAACAGGCTATTACGTCACATCATAATTATCTTTTAAATCGTCCTACTCATTGATCAGCAAGAGGCACTACAATTTGTATCCTACATATAGATAGTATAGTTTTTCTTTGTTCATTCATATAGGAGTAGAACGCTCGGTTTCTCTGAACAACCAGCTAGCTTACATTTTCTTAAACTCCTAGCGTTAGCTTCAGCATACCTAATCATCTCCTATGATATCATCCCTAATGATAAGCAAAAGGCTCTACTTTTTAATATTATACATATAAAGAAGATTGAATTCAATGCAATTTTTAAACAAACTGGTTTGTTAACGTAGAATAATGCAGACATAAACCGCCCTCTTTCTTCGATCAACGCTCAACGTGCATTTCGTGAACATTGGATGAACAAATGCACCCGTAGATAATTTGCTTTGTCATTTGAGACTGAATCAGGATTTGGATATAGAACTGAGGGGGTCTGGCGAGAGAAGGGGGTCCGGCTGTCTGCAGGTTGGATTCAGAGACTACAGGAGAACAGTGGTCAGCAGAGACATCAGTATCAATACACTCATTACCAGGGACAAAGGGCCATTTGTAACATTAAAGCCACTGGAAACTCTCCCGGCTGCTGTTTAAATGAGAGAGGGGGAGGGGCTCCATTTTCTGCTTCGTCAGCGCTTTGCTCTAACCATACATCTCAATTAAAAACAGCCGTCATCATTACAGTAACAAGCACAATATGTTGTTAAGGGAAGGAAGAGGGTAATTATGCGTTCCTCCTGTGTGCAGTCCATTCAGTAACATTTACTCTGCTCCTAGAATAGTCTGTATATACATGTTATTATTTTATCTAGTTAGTGAAGAAAAAAGTGTCCACACAGACTTTGCATTAAGTCTACAGTGTTAGGTAGACAAACTCTGTAAAAAACATCCAGACTTTTCAAACCTTTTCACCGTTTCAACCGTTTCAATATCAAAATGCCTCCTAATTTATTAATAACTATCTATCTATTTGATAGTTTCTTGTTTTTATTTATTGAAATACACAAACCTAACAGATAACAGATGATATACAGAGCAAGAAGAGGCCACTTGCCTCCACCTAAATAATGATAAAATTCACAACTTTATTGAAAAGACAAGATCAATAAATTCAATAGTGACATCAAAGTATTAAAACATATAATAAAAAGAGACAAAAACAACTATACATCTTACTTCTTCTCAGAAAGCATATTTGACACTCCCTCCAACTTAGTTTTTCTTTCCTCCTCCTCCTCTTCCAGGTACCATGTGTGGACTAAAGGCCACGCACCAACCAACTTTGCCAAATGGCGGACAGCCACCACGCCCTACAGGGTGCAGTGGGAGGCGGACTTCGAGCCGTACGTCATGGTGAGGAGGGACAGCCCGGAGTACGACCGCCGCTTCGTGGGCTTCGGCTGGAACAAGGTGGCTCACATCATGGAGCTGGACGCACAGGTACGAGACCCAACGCTCGCTTTCTGTCTGATTAACGTCTCAGGTTTTCTCAATGCTTTATAAATTAATTAAAGTATTAGTTAAAATATCTTAAAATAAGAAATCAGTTCTATGGTTCATACATGGACATCGTCGTACCATTCCTCACGCCCGCATCATTTACCGTGAAACCGACCGTGAGCGACAGATGTGAATCATGGAAGTTATGGTTTACTTTCAACACTATGTTAAACCAAAAGGTGAACCACCAAGAAAGCCAACATTTCACGGTGTTTGGTGGTGTTTAGTTTTCATTTTCCTTTCTCTAATTGGAATTTAAACCTTGGTAATCAAGAAAAAAGTCATTAATTTATCCACATGGCAACATGATTAGAACACACAGGGCAAAATATTTTGATCTGCTCCTGTAGTCCATCTACGGAAAAATGTAGTTTTTCCACGGCGGACGCACATCATGGCAACTCCAAGTTTCTTTTCCTAAATAAAGATGAATTCTCCTTCACGTCTTTCCTGAACCCCATGACGTTCTCACTGAGGTTAAGGAAAAATGGTTAGAAAAATACATGATTTATTTTGGACAAAATTTCACATTTGTAGCGATCAGCCGCCCACACTGAAACTCCTCTTCCTCCTCTCTTCACAGGAGTATGAGTTTGTGGTTCTGCCCAACGCCTACATGATCCACATGCCTCACGCGCCCAGCTTCGACATCACCAAGTTCCGCTCCAACAAGCAGTACCGGGTCTGCCTGAAGACCCTGAAGGAGGAGTTCCAGCAGAACATGTCGCGGCGCTACGGCTTCGCTGCCCTCAAATACATGACGGCTGAGAACAACAGCTAGCCACCACTGCAGACCCTCACCCCCCCGGGCCTGAACTATTGACACATGGGCTGGGGAGTGGGGGTTGGGGGTGGGGGAACAGGAAACAGACAGGGTTACTTTGAGACCACTTTGTTCGAATGTTTGACCCTCAGTGTGGGACTGCATGGGTCTTTATGTTCTCTCTTTTTCCTGTGGATGGAAGGAGGGGATTCACTTCTGCCAGGATGGAGATGACGGGGGTCCGACTGTGTGAGCCATGGCCCTTAAATCTAACAGACAGGAACATTCGATGCCTTGTCATATTTGTAAGGCCAGTGACAGAGTTGTTGGCTGTGTGTAACATTATGTAAGCGTGTGTGCAAATGTGTGAGTGCGTGTACCATGCAGGTAGATGTTTCTGCAGGACAGTGCTTAGCGAAAAGCTTAAGGAGAGATGATGAAGTGAAGCATTGTGGGCTTACAATCTGTGCGCACGCCTTCCAAGTGCCAACGAAAAGCAGCAGCAGCAGCAGCAGCAGCCGCCGCTGTCTGACTGACAGCAAACCCCCGACTCAAATGCAAATCGTCACCAGGCGGCGAGATAAGACAAAGCGTTTCCGTGTCCACATAGATTTTGAAAATCTCATTGTGACGAGCGACACACACTCCGATATCGAGGCGAGCAGCCAGCCGCTGCTTAATTTGTTTCCTAGCTGATGCATATCAGAATAAATCCTTCTCCTCGTATGACAAGGGAAGTTAAGTGCAGAGCTGGAGGTTGATATTCAGGGTGTCTCCACATCAGCGAGCTGCTACAGAATGTTTCCCCGTGTTCATTTACGATACACAATCTGACAGCAGCCGGTCGGCGTGGGTTTCTTTTTTATTTGTGGATTTTAAATGGATGTCGGTGCGGTCTGCACAAACACCTGCTGGAAGGCCTGTCCGTTTGTGACTCCCCAACGCACACAGTATTCATTTTTTACTTTTCTTTCCGACCATCAGTGTTATTTATCAGTGTGTTTACAGTCCTGACGGGTGGAGCAGGAGGCGTTATTGTCTCCTGATCTGAAAGAACATTTGAAAACTGAAAAAAAGCTATTTTTCTCTCACTCTTTCTTTCTCACTCTGGCCTCTAGTTTGACGACATTATCGTGGCGCTCACTAACGCTGCAGTGGTGTGTGTTCTCATTTTTCGTTGTCACACACCATCAGGCTAGGTGTGGTGATCCTGATTTGTTGTGGATATTCTGTTCAGCTGTTACAACCAAGAAAAGCATATCTCTCCCAGATAATGAAGACAGACATTCACTGTAGCATTATACTCATTTTATATGATAGACATATCATAACTCTGGTCTTGGGTACATGCATTAAGACTCATGTTACTATATGATAAGGTCAATTGAAACTAAAGTTTGAATGGACTACAGATAATCGAGAAATATGACCTCAAAGAATGTAAAGTAGGTTAATATCAGTTATATTAAATATAATGATATGGAGATAAAAAAAGGATTGAAAATCACAAAATGGTTGCAATATGTCCCGGTTTTCCAAGATACGTTCAAATCAGAACTGTGTTTACTCCAATCCACAGGGTGGTGCTAATCAGACCCGGCGCCAGAACAAATCTACAGAGAGGGTGTATGATTTTCATGGGAGGGCACACAACAAAACCGTCATGTGCCGCGGCCAGTGTCGACGCCAGAGATTTTCTTTTGGGGGTGCTGTGGGGTAGCTTGACGTTTCATAGAGGGTGCTCAAACATTTAGGGTTTCCCATTAATGTACCGGGCGCTACAGTGGAATTTTCTACTGCAACACTCCCCACACGCACACACATACACAGCACACCTGCGACTGTTACAATGAAGGCTCGATAATCAGATCACGGCATATGGGTGTAAGCAGGGGCAAAGTGCTATTNGTTAATTAAGATTAATTAATTACACAAAAATTAACGCGTTAAAAAAATTAACGCATTTTAATCGCACTTATTTTTGCACCGCGGAACGTTTCTCACTGGATGAGTCCAGTGAGAAACGTTCCGCGGTGCAAAAATAAGTGCGATTAAAATGCGTTAATTTTTTTAACGCGTTAATTTTTGTGTAATTAATTAATCTTAATTAACGCGTTAAAGTCCCGGCCCTAATTTAAGAATAACAAGCTCACGAAAAACAGTTCTTGTTGCCATTGATTCTATCTTGAGATAAAGGGACAATTGAGTCATGATCTCCAGCTAACCAGCTGAGTTTAGCCTCTCTAAAGTTTGGAGTGTGTGCAGACAGAAATAGAGGTTGAGAGGATCAGTGGCAGAGACTTCAACAACAACACAGAGCCAGCGAAAAAACATCATCCTCTAAAAAGAAGTTTTTGAGTCCGAGTCGACTACAAACCAAGAACGAACTGCCACTTGAGAAATGGCAGACTGCTGCAAGGAGTTTTTGCAATAAGTACAACACATGTACAGTTTTGGAGCTGCTAGACAAAGTGTATAAAGAGGACAAGAAAGGGAGGCAAAATGAAATAAAGAGAAGAGGGAAAGAGATAAGACGTGGGCTTTAAGGCGAGAGATTAAGGAAGGCAAGCTAGGCAGAGATAAAGGTCAAGGAGATAGGCATTAAGCAGGAGATAGAAGCCTGCAGAGCGAGCATGGGTGTAGCATTGGCGGCTTTAATGAAGGCTGTAAGGAAGATTAATGAGAGCATATTGGAGCAGGCAGCAGAGAACAGGCAGTCCCTTTAGATAAGCTGCAAAACAACGATCTGCCATCAAGGTGATGACTGAGCGGGACAATTAGAGCTCAAAGACAAAACACTTCTGCCTTTACTGGGACGCACTTCACGGGGGATTCTACTTTGGTTTGGGTTCATAACAAAAAGTCTGTTGGCTTGATTCAGCTGAGGTGGGAAGAAAAGTTTATATTCTACTCCATACTTGTTTAAAGGTTAAATTTAGATTCATTATAGGTAATAACAATTCAATCAATTGTTGAATCTGAAACCAGAGCACAGTCTGCTCCGATTGGTTAGCTGGTCGTGATTGGTCCACCCGCTTGGAGATGACCTTTCTTAGCATATCACCAACAATGTGTTGGAGCGCGAGCCAATAGAAGCGTCGGTACATAGTGATGTCGCTATGTAGGGCTGCTCAATTAATCGTATTTTAAATCGCGATTACGATTATGGCTTGCAACGATTACGAAAACAACGTAATCGAAATAAAACGATTATTTTTTTATTATTATTTTTTTTTCTTTTGGTTTTTTAGTTGAATTATACTTAAAGTTCAGGGTAATCAACTGTTAAAAACATACTGTTCAAATTTTTTTTATCCAATAAATTGATGTTTTCAAAGTCAATGAATAATCGCAATTACAATTATTGACCCAAATAATCGAGATTATGATTTTTGCCCTAATCGAGCAGCCCTATCGATATGTTACGGATGTAAACAAAGGAGTTCAATCGAGGAGGGGTGGGGGGGACAAAACTGTTAGCCTTTGCAGACCATTTACCTGCACAAAGACCCTTTATAACACACGACAGGAAAGGGGGAACCCCAAAGAGCATAATTGGGCCCCTTTAAACTTGAGGTAACCATTACATTGTTTTCCTTTCCTTTCATTATAAATGTCACTCTTATGTTACAGTGTGGCAAAAACTAATAGGGAAACGTGTTCATGCAGTTGTAAGAAATGCTGTGACCTCAAAAAGGGTTAACACATTAGGATTTCCAGGCATACTTTTGTTCCTTGGACCAAACATCCACAATGAGAAAAACTGAGGAGCAACTGACCATGAACCTTCAACCATCAGTTTTCTCAAAACAGTTTGATTCTCGGTTTCTGAGTCAGAGAGCCATGACAGAGCAATATTGATTTTACTTCTTTTCTCTCGTTTCAACAAAAAGAAAGAATGGAATTTCTTAAGAAGCAGATCATCAAGACAAGGAGATTCTTCCCACCGTTCTCTACATTCAAACCAAGCTGTCATCCACACACACTGCATCGGCATTTAGAACCAACACAACAGATGTACGATATTCACATTACACTGTTCATTTGCTATTGATTTTGTAACATGGCCAATACCGGCTATTCAGCGATTAGTCTGTTCAGAATCTATTACAGAGTACGACATACTAGTATTATGCATGTCCCACCAAGCAAAGTCCTCACACAAGCAAACCTCAGGCAATCCAAAATCTATTTCCCAGCATGCAGGTGGGCGAGGAGGGAGTGAGCGGTTCTTAAATTAGCTGTCGGGAGGTACAAGGAGATCAGTGGGAGTTTTTCCTGCCGAGTCAGCAGTTCAGACCAGTCGTAGGCCCAACTCTCTCCTCCTCACATTGTATTCTCCTACTGCACCACACATGGAGCTTTGATTAACAACCTTATCAGGAGATACATTAAACTAACGACAAGTGAAATGATCTCTTAGATTTAGTTCATGTTGTTACTGACATGGTCTGTAATGTGGCCGGGAGATAGATGGAATCGTAAAGATATATATTTTTTCTTTCAAATTAATAATTTCAGAAGTACTGCAATTAAAAACTAAGAGCATAGTAATTTAAATGTGAGCTATATTGTAAAGAAATATCATTGCAATAAACATCATTATGCCTATGTTGTGTTATTTTCAGACAATGTGATATATTATATGGATACAAAATATAAGACTTTTGGAAACGACTAACGTTAAAATGACCATATATCCTCAAAATTAATCTGCTTTTTACACAGCCCTGGCTCTGAAAATGGGAAACAAACACTATTCCAAAAAATAAGCAACAAGGGAGTCATTGCTTGTGCACTGGCCATAGATGCAACAAAACAAAAACAGTGAGAGCGAAAGAGACAGTATATCTGGAGGGGATCATTTGTTTGATAGTAATCTGTGCTTTGTTGAAGATGGGATAAACCGGGAATGCTGCTCTGCACCATTACTCTTATGATACCCGGATGACCCAGTCACTTTTCTGCAGACATTAGAGCACTATTATCCAGTGGATGTTTATCTGGTAGCTTGTTCAAACCACTCAGACCTGTGGCTTTGTAGAAAATAAATAGACATTTCTGGGCTGTGTCTCCTGTTGCTGTATGACTGTTGCTAACCCTAACCCTAACCCTAACCATATAAAACACACACGTCTCCCTCTAGGATACATATGTCCATCAAAACAGAGTACAGTAACAAACAGATATTTATGATGTAACAGAAAAATCTAAACCTAAGTCTCGGCAGAATCAGAGGTTCAAGATTCAACTCATGTTATTTTTGTTTACCTTATATCCTTTCCCCAGAAATAATTTGTCCTTGTCATCGTAGGAAAAGCAAACCCTTTTCCTAGCAAACCCTCCCAGTGTCACAATGATCCGGCATGAACATCCCCCATGAACTGAAGCCTCTAAATGACATACAGCCATCATTTAACTATTTAAACGAGTGCTTTCATACAGTACAGGGACATATCCAAATGCAACCACACAAAACAAGAAAGCTTGGGAAAACCTAAACAGGAGGCGGCTCAGTGAGCGATTGCATGATGAAACAAGTCTCTGTCCCGGTGTCCTTGAACGCCAAGTGATCAGCTAAAAAGCCTTTCTGTCACATGAGGCTTGAACTGCGGAAAAAGAGAGAAATTATGTCTCGTGCACTTTAAGCGGCAATACACTTAAGTGCTCCTGATCCAAGGACAGGTAGATGGTAGGTTATACTGCCAAAGCATCATCTGCCATTAGTTCTGTTGATTGCAGAAGGTGGGGCAATAAAGGCAAGGCGTAATGTTAACCTGCCCTGCTCTGCTCTGGATAGAGTGTAGTGGGGGGCAATGTGATGGGGACCGCCTCCGGGTGACAATTTCCATATTAACTACAGGATAGGCTTACATTGTTTTTACGTTTTTTTAATGTTATGAGAACATCCAGAAACATCAACAGTATACCATTCCTTTTCTGGACTGATAATTTAGGGATCCACTTAAACCAGAGGCTGTATGACTAACATTTCATATCCAACATAAATCCAAGGTTTCATGGGGAAGCAGTTGTCATAATTCCACACTTCCCCATGACACACATCTTAATTTAGTTCCTTTTTCCTATCTTTAATGCTCATGTGTTTTCAACATTCACAACAGTGACCAGGAGCCTAAGAAAAGGCCACCAAGCAACTGCCAAAATGGGTATACGTTAACATAATATATGTTATTTCTGTTTGTATCGAAGTAGGTTTTTGGAAAAGCCAGGTTAAGACATGTCAGTGCTGCAGGTCTTCACAGCGGTTGCTTAACAGTGCCTTAGTCTTTCTCATGTCGCCAGTCTTTAGTGACTACCATTTCCCCTTAACTGCACATTGGTTGCTTCATGGTTAATGTACCTTGTCTGTCCGACTAAAGAAAAGCGAGCCATTGGGATTGTAATAGGGATTGTAACCCATTTGCAGCTCTGAAGGGTGCTTACAACTCTCCGTTACAATGGACCCTCACAACATTAATGGCAGGTATTTTGTCTCTTGGACAAGCACTAGTGCGTACATTAGTACTTTATTTATTTTATTTGACATTAGAAGCAATATTTTTGGGAAAAACCCCCAAATAAAGCTAAAAAAATGTATCTTAAGGTCGATTCCAACATTGAATTGGTCACATCGATTGGCTTTTCTCTTCACAATCTCCAAAAACTGGATGGTTTCCAAGTATTGGTGTTTCTGGAATTCTGAAGAAAACACCTTTTAGATAAATGTGTAAGGGTAGTATATATGACTCTTCCTGGAACAAGAATGCTTTGTGTAGTCCGTTAATACTGGAAAGAGGCACTGACAGCTTACTTAGTAGATGTTGAAGTACAGTACTACACCCAAGGGATCACTTTCAAATGAGTGTTGCCCCTGGGGAGGTGAGCGATGGAGCCCCTGTCTGCAGGAGAGTCTGGCCCCAGGCTGCACACTTCTAGATGGGCTACAGTCCCAGTGTCAAAGTGTGGCTCTCGCTCCAGCTCACCAGCTTTCTGGAAAGGCTTCATCATACCGGTGATGGGCAATTATTGCTCATGTCAATCCAAAATGATATCAAGCCAAGTCCATGTTCACTGCTAGGATTCTGTTTCCCTGCCTATAACTCCACACTGTTGGCCTCCATTACTGTTGTCTCTCACTTCACAGATATTGGGGGTAAATGGTAGAAAACAAAGTATGACAGCGGTTTAAATGGGTTTCTTAGCCAAGTGCTTTAAAAGGGTGATATTTATACAGTTTGATCACATTAGAAGATCTGAGGAACAGAAACAGATGACAGCTTTCATTTCTGAGAGACGTGGTTGCGAGAAGCACAACATGCTGATGCAGCTACTTGTCAAGATATGATTTTCCTTTTCCTGTATATCTTTTTACATCACTGTTTAAACTTTGATTTGTTTGTCACTGATCTCTCGAAGCACTAGGACAGGGGTGGCCGAGCCGCATGTGGCTCTTTGCCTAGTTTCATGCGGCTCTTCAGTTCATATCGAGTTGTATATGTGTGAGTTTGGGGGAGAGACACTGACTCCTGACTAGTTGACTAGTGTTGCACGGTGTATCGATACTTGAAAGGTATACCGCGATACCCTGCCGTTAAAAACGTTACGATTCCTCAGTTTCATTAGTATCGGCAGACCCGGCGTCATGGGCGGGCCCGCCCATCCGGGATTTGGGCCCGCTGTTTTAATTAGGGCTGAATACCACATTTTTATTGTTTTATTATTATGTTTATTGTTGTTATTTGTAGTGCTTTGTCCTAATATTTATTTTTGTATTAGTTTAATATCATTTTTTTATTTTGCTAGGAAATTCTGAATGAAAGGCTGCGCGCAAGACTGGTTTTTCGCTGGGTTGAGTCGTGTGGGTTTTTGAGTGAGATGCGGCACAGTAGCCTGTCAGTTTACTCTTGCTAGGTTAGTGGTTCACGAAAGGAATATGGCAACTCAGCACCAGATGCAGGCACATTAGAAGAAAGCAGTTACGTTACCAACGAGCAAGCAAGTCAACTGGCAATCAATTATAATTTGAAGAGAAATTGACTCAAGCCGGCTTTCTCACAAACTCCTGCTCTGTGCGCAAGCAGACCGCTGCACAGGCTCTCTGCCTCGCTCGATCTCCCTCTCTC